AAATAATTTCGGATAACGGGTTAGAAATTAGAAACTCGGTAGTCCAAGAACTACTTAAAACTCACAAAGTTGAAATTCATTTCGTAAGTTCACAACACCCAGAATCAAACGGGTTACTCGAACGTTTTCATTCTACACTGATAGAAAATATTCGGTTACTTAATAATCAAAACGAATATAAAGACGACCCCATAGAGATTAAAGTAAATTATGCATTATTAGGCTATAATAACACAATCCATTCTATAACTAACATGAAACCATATGAAATTGTAACCGGTCATTTAGATACGAATTCACCATTTAATATAAACATTGAAAACCAACTAGTCAATAATTATGTAGAAAAACATAAGGAAAAAGTTAAACTTTTATATCAAAATTTAAATGAAAACATACAAAAGAAAAAAGAAAAAATTATACAAAAAGCAAATGAAAATCGTGAAAAACTTCCCGAAATTCCCGAGAAAGTTTTTGTCAAAAACAAACAAAAACACAGTAAGACGTGTAACAAGTACAAAAAACAAACTGTATCCACTGTCAATCCAGACCGAAAAACCGCAAAAATAGAAAAAACACATGGTAACACCCGTGAAAAAATACATTTGTCAGACATTAAAAGACCAAAAAAGTCACAAACTCAAAAAAATTTATAATATTCTAAATCACGTTCAAACTAACGAAAAAATTTACAAAATCAATTAAAATATCAGTATTCTGTAAATCATCAAATCATAAGTAATTTCAATAAAACTATTCAAGATGTTCAACATAATGAAGAATTTTTAAAAGCAAAAATTATGCAATTGTATTCATTGAAAACGGTGCTACACATCAAGATATTCTTTTTGCAAAGGATATATTCAATCAGTTAAACATACTTTATAATACTATTCTCAATGCCTTGCAGGATATCGAAAATTCAATAACATTCTGCAGATTAAATGTATCGCATCCAAGTATAATTAAATCTAGCGACTTATTTCTAGAAATCCAGAAAATCGAATTTCATTATGGTACCACCTTGCCTTTTGAAGTCAAATATGAAAATATTTTAAATTTTGAGTCTCTCTTAAAAATTCATTGCAAAATAGACCCAAATCGAATAACATATTTCTTATCAATCCCTATCTATTTTGAAAAAGAATATGACTTATTTAATATGCTATCTATACCAACAAGGCATGAATCAGAATACTTAACGATAATTCCAAACACGAAACTTGTTTTAAAAGCCAAAAATGAAGGCACAATTAAACCTCTATCCGACATGTGTACCCAAGGTAAATGGTATCACTGTCCGAACAGTCTACAAGCCAATTACAGAACACCCTGTGAAGAAAATATTCTCTTAAATCAAAACTCTAGCGGTTGCCGTTTCATTCGATTAAAAATCGATGAAAATCACATCGAAACTGTACCCGAAATTAACCAATATTTGGCTGTATTTCCAAAAGAAGAGAAAATCGAAGCCCAATGTCAAAAATCGATTGAAACTATATCACTCACAGGTATCTACCTAATTAAGAAAGACTCCTGTAACTTAGTATTCAAAGGACGAAAATTAAATTTTCAAGAAACAAGTTATGGTAAACCACTCATAGTTAATATAGTTCATCTTCAGTCAAAAGTTCATACTCGTCCCAAATTTAAAGTGAAACTAAATACACTAAATCTTAAAGAGTTACCTACCGATCCTATGATGCCGATCGAAAATGAAGAAAAAATTCACAAATATCACTTGCCAAGTCTTTGGACCATCATCCTGTATATTTTACTAGCAAGCACTGCTGTATACATCTGCATAAGATGGAAGAACAAAAGGGCAACAAAGAAGAATAAGGGCAAAGAAAATAAATCAAGACAAAGGCAAAGAAGAAAATAAAATCAGCCTCCCAGGGGATGCTTCATTCTGAGGGTGGAAGAGTTATATAGAGTCAACTACCTGAAGAGTTAAGGAAATGGGAGCATCGACATTGCTAACATGAGCTGGACAGCCTAGGAATGCCGTGTCATCAATTTTGGACAAGTGGACGGCAATAGCCGTTTAAATCAGTCTGCATTAGAATCTGACACTGTAATTATCATTCAACAATAAAATTTAATTTTAAAAATTATTTTTTAAAAAGACCGAAACAGTAATCGGAAATTTAAGTTATATATATATATATATACTTATATTTTGACGTTTCATAAAGATGCGCTTGCAGTGTCCTATTTACTCTTTCCATTTTCCTGTATAGCAACTTACTGTCAGTTCTGGGTCACCCTTTACACATCATTTGGCGTTATTTTTAAGCAAAAATAATATAATTGGCTAAATCTAATTTTATATCTTTTTTATTTAAATTATTTCATGGCATGGTTGATTCCCCGGCTTTAATCTTTCTTTTTAATATATGTGTTCCGAAATAATTCACTGCTTTACTGTCGGAATGCTAGAATAAATGTGCTTATAAAATCTCCTGTTTATTTAATGGCCAAATAGCAGATCAGTGTGATTTATTTCATCGTAATATTAATAATTTGTTATGAACGATTTTACTTATTATATGTTAACCTTGAATGTTTGTAATATTATTTAGCTATATGAGTGGAAATGTACTTTTTGTATATGAGTGGTCAATAAACTATACTATACTATAGAAATCTTATTTTATTAATATTGTTATTGTTATTGTTAATGTTATTGTTATCGTTATCGAAGTATTATTATTATCATTATCATTATCATTATCATTATCATTATCATTATTATTATTATTATTATTATTATTATTATTATTATTATTATTAGATGCCAAAATATTGTTGCTATCTCAAAAACCGCCAAATTGCATGATTTAGTTAATGTTAAATTCCTGAATTCCTGAATAATATTAAATTCCTTGGTTAGTCGGGAAAGTTAATTGAAAAATGCAGAAGTTTGAAATTTTCATTTTGTCATTTTCCGAGCTTATTTGAAGGGTTACACGATAATAAACATGTTGGATTCCTCATTATACTCGTATGACAGTATAATATTTCATATGTTACCATTACTGATCTTTTGTACCGAGAAAGTTATCAGTGCCATTTTTTGCACATTTTCTTTACAATTTTGTATTAACAAATTTACATAAGATATCAAAAACTCTACAATTAGCAATATCCATAACTTACATGATAATGAAAATGACAGGATGTTGCAAAAGTGTGATATTTTTTCAAATAACTTTCTAACGTAAATTATTGTTTACCATTTTTTTTAGATGTCAATAACTATAAAGTTCATTTCCATAATTTTTTAATACTACACAATTTATATAGCCTGATAATAATCTGGTATTTTTTAAAGGACGTTTGTATTTACAGGTTTTTATACGATTTTATATTTAAAACCTTCCATTAATGTACAAAAAAAATAAAAGAATAATGAACGAATAACTAACATTAGAGCAAAAGCTACAAAGTTGTGGGCATCAGCATTTTACTTTTCAATACCTCTTGTAATTTTATTATAATCTATATTATAGTTTCTTGATAAAATTTGTCCATTTTTCGTCAATCTTAAAAATTTTTAATAGCAAGTTAAGAAAATTAAATTTAAAAATTAAATTATTAAAAATTAAAATAAAAAATAATTGAATGAGGAAAAAGTTTCCAAACTTTAATTACCATTGAAAAAAAATATGACTATTGAAGATGATTTTTTTTATTCAAAAGGGTACTAACATACATATGGTGAAAAAGACAATGAAAAATATATAATATTTGACGTTTGACGACAATATATACCAAAATTAAATTGAACCATCCTAATGTCTTAATAAAGGAAAATATATTTACTACATATTTACCTGATTTTACTGAACAATGTATGTGAGCTCTACTTTGATAGTACACCCAGTCAAATCCTGCTTCTACTGCTAGTCTCGCTAACATTCCGTATTTAGATCTATCACGATCTGAAGTGGTAATATCTACTGCTCTTCCTTCATAATGTAACGAATCTGGTGTATGGTAACCTTCTTCGTCCCAACCTTCAGTTACTAAAAGACGGACTCCGGGCCACTGGTTCATAACAGATATTGCTAATGTATTAAGCTTTTCTTTACATCGCTGTAAATAAACAATATTTGTTAAACTTTTGCAATGAAATTATGTACGTCATAGAATTATTATTTTTTAGAATATCATCTTTCGTTATTTCGTTATTTTAAACTATTCTTTTGAAATACACTTATTAAATAAGGTAGTAAAAGAAGAATATTCGGAAATGCAGAAATGTTGCTGTTCATATTGTAATAGTTCATATTCGCTGAATCTGGAAGCTGCAATAGTACCAATAACAACTACAACAAAAATAGGCGACATAAAAAATGAGGACGCCTTTTTCATATAGAAGATTATGTTAGCAAAAAATCTATTAAATCCTTCAAATAAAATGATAGATTGGGCAGACTTAGATTTACTAACACGTTAGAAGTATATAATTTACAGTTTATTGAACAAATTGAAAATCACATTTGAGTAACCTTCTTTTTGTTTGTTTCAATTCGTTAATAAATGAACAAACAACAAAAACAAACTACGAGCTAATTTATAAATAATTAACCAGTCCTGTTCTACCTTAGTTTTTAAAACTGTCTTTTTTAGATGGAAAATATGTTGTTTCATAACACGCAATCGACTAGTGTACCATTTAACGCCAAATCCACTAGTTTTTTTACTTTGTGCAGAGGAAAACACAGATTAATATTAGATTGAATTAAATATTAAAGTCGTCCACTATTACAATTAGTTTATATTTACTATTAAGATAATACATTAAAAACAAACAATATTTAATTGTAAAAAAATCCCCATTACTTACTTGGAAAGTATGTAAACAGTAACTAAAGTAATATGAACATATTTTATTTTGCATTCAAATTAATTGATTTGCACTTGGTAAAGGTTTTGGGAAATATGGTAACTCCTCAATGGGATTTGCTCGCAACAAAAGTATGATTCCAATGAATAATCATCTAAATTAACTGGTCGGAAAGACAGAAAATTAATTTGAGTTTCAAATAACAAAAAAAAACAAGTCACAAATAATCAATTTTCTTTACTTTGAATATTTGTATGCAAGGTAGAGTATGAGGGTGAAAAGGGATCAGTCCTTTAGATCCATCGACAAAGGGAATATTGTCGGCATTTCTTGATCGAAAAAAACTGACAGCTACGTCTTTAGACCAAATCTCCGGTTATCCGGATGGTTTTTGGAATCAACTACCAGAATATTTTTAGATCTTCTACAAAAGCTTGATTTAGGTGCATTATACCGAGCTTGTGAACACACTATGAGCATGCGGTGAATGAACATCGTAAGAAAGGGCGGATGGGGTAACAATAGAAGATGCTGCCTTTTTTTGGCCAACAGATGGCGAATTTAGTGAAACCACATATTTATTGTTTGTTCACGAAACTTTTCTGCCGTAAAAGTCAGCGACTTGACTTGTCCACGCGTAATTTTGTAGATAGTAAATAATCAATAGGTATTCTAGCTCAATTTGCATAACATGATTATCGAATAAGAAAATAAATTTTTCAGTTGGCCATTCTCATGGTATGCAGGTAATATTTAAAAATATATTTGGGTATTCAGGTGGTTCTAATAATCCGAAATGAAGCTGCAGGTATCCTGGGTCAATTTACGTAATTAAGGTGATCGGGGCATAGTAAAATTGTTTTTTTTTTGGAAGGGCATTCCGGTGGTAATAATAATCATTATTTAAAAGTTTATTTGGGTAATCAGATGACCTTAATCATCCGTAATGAAGCTGCAGGCATCCTTGTTCAATTTGCATAATTACATGATCGGGCATCCTTTAAAGATACATGCCCAACTAACAATTTTCTTTTAACATTGGCTCATCCTAATTATTCAAAAATATATTGGATAATCAAGTGCCCTTAATCGCCCGAAATAAAAATATATTTTGGTAACTCAGATGTATGCGATATTTAATACGTGAACTTATGTAACTTGAAACTGGAGCATTACGGTAATCTATTGAATGCATCTATTGAATGCACTGGATATAATTACAACATTAATATAATATTTAATATGTCTTAACTAGGAACTGAAGCATTTCCTTAAATGTCATAGAATTTCTGTAAGCGTACTTTCAAATTTATTGTGTTATACAAAGATACAGTTCTGCGCTTATTTACACATCAATTTATGTAAATAAAACCTAATTTCCTATTCTTCAGAGCAGTTCACTGCCGCAAATCAGATCGGAACTGTATGTTCTAATCTAATACGTACACGTCAGACGGGCTCTGGGCGAATGGACTGAGATAGAACATAGGAAATACTGGACTTCAAGGCCAGGGCATAGCCATTCCATAGAGTTGATGGAATATCCTTTCAAGGAAAGAGTAAATGAGTTGTTGAGCTTGAATAAAATTCGGGTCAGGAGAGTGACGGGACTCATAACGGGACACTATCACTTTAGGAAACAACATCTACATAAGCTAAAGCTTGTAGATAGTGCGGTCTGCCGAGGATGTGACTCGGCGGAGGAAACTTCTCTGCATATCCTAGGCGAGTGCTCGGGATTTGCAGGTAGTAGAATGACGCTCCCGGGCAAATCCTATTTGGAACCCAAGGAGCTGAGAGAAGTGTTAGCAAGGAAGCTTTTGGACTTTGTTAAAAGGACAAAACTACTTGCTGAATAGGACTAGGTAGTGGGACGCTCAATAGGCCTAATAAGGCCGCGCTGTCATGGTACTTATCAGAACCAACCACTAGGAAAAGAAGCAGAAGAAGTATGTACACAGTGCGCAAATAAAATCACCGCATATTTAAGGTTATGCTGATGTTTTTACTTGATGAAGGGAATTTTTTATTAATCTAAATATACTCACATTTCTTTCATATATGGTGATTGTTTAAATGTCTCTAACTGCAGAGGGTGGATGGTATTATTTTACCTCACTACGTCCTAAATAAGTCTATAATTATGTAAACCGTAGATTCTATACACATGCATTTCTGTAATCAAATAATTAAATTTGTCTTGTTTCTACGACACTATAAAAAAGTATAATGACATACACTTATCCTACAATTACCACACGTAGGTAAGTAAAATTTAATTTGTCCTTTATGCTAAACTAAACTAACATTTCCTTTCATCAAGTATCGAAATATTTTCTGAATATAAATATTATTTTTACTTTATTTTACTTATATACATAACTTTTATGTACAAAATATATTCAATAATTATACAGCTCACTTTAGTTCTAATACTTGGGTGGTGCAATTAATTTAATATTTAATCTCGTTTAAACTAATATCTTTTTTCAGATCCTTAAAATGTCAAAACCTATTGCTATGGAACAAAATGTTTCAAATACAGAAGCTAATGAAGAGTCTTCCGACTTGAACATATTGGGATAATGATTTGTTACAAATTTACAATCCTATTGTATGTTATGGAGAATAAAATTATAAGAGCTCCACCCTCTGGAAAGTCCAAAGCAGAAAAAATGAATGAAGAAAGAATGTGCCTTAGATTTTTAAATAGTCATGTATTGTTGTGGTTAATAAATTATTTTAGATGGAGAGAAGTTATTAATTTAAATAAAACACATTTTCATATTTATAATTTTAGTCTTACTTCTAAGAGTCGGTGATTCAACTTTAGATATTATATCATCAATCGCTAAAAATCAATGAGTCTGTTGAAAAAAAGCTTGGTGGGCAATTATGTCTCATAAAACGTTAAGGTCTCTAACAATAAGTGTGTAAGTTTTAGAAGATGGTTTCGATTTATTACTCAATTATATGCGAAATGATCCAGCTATGACAAAGAATAAGACTTATAAAAAACATTGAGTGCAATGATGGTCCTGCAATAAGGAAAACAGTGATTCCAGAAAAATGTTTGAAAGTACAGTATGTGTTCCAGTGTAACAGCAGTTTTCCTATGTTGATTTTAGTTTAAATCGAATTACTGTAAAAATATAATTAAACTGGGTATTGGTAATCATAATCAATGCATGAAGTTAATTTTTTTGACAATTCTCATATTATAAATTCGATGAGTATCATTAAGAACTACTTTTTCATTAAACTTTAAATACCCTAGTAAACAATAATTGTTCGCATCTGTTTAATTTATCTTTGGAACAATCATCGTAATTAGTAGCGTATAGCATTGTATTAAAAATTCTTAAAATCCAAGTATTGCATAAATTCTAACCTATATTCAATTATATGTCTAATTCCAATAATTTCTTTAATATATTTTCTTTATCATTGTCAGGAATAATATTAATGTTGCTAATAAAATCATACCAGTCTACATCCATAAACAAAATCACATCACTTAAGCCTATAAGTACCGCCGTTGGTTCAAAGCCTCAGACAGCGCTAATTCTTGTCGTAACTTATATCATTAACCTTAACAGTAAGTATTTTAATTCATTGATTAATTGTCTCTTGTTTGATATCGTCTGCATACTTGAAAATGACGCTATCCACATATTTCCAGCAAGGAGATGAACATGCTAAATTTGAGTTATTCTGCATACCGAATCAAATATTTTAACAATGGGACGCACCGTTTCCATTGCTAGATAAACCAGTAATAGTTATAATATACTAAAACTATGTGAAATTGTCAAATGTAAAATTGGTATATTAAAAAATAGACAGTTTGCAAATTACTACAAGATCTTGAAGTGAGTGAAAAAATGGTTTTTATGTCTTAAATATTTCAGTGTAGGCATTTCTAAATCTGTACTCGGACGTATTTCAGTGTTTCGGTTATGGAAAACAGGTGATTTTTAACGAAAACAACAACCAAGTACATTTAATAGTAATTTGGACTTACACCTACAATGCTTCTAGAATAATATGTTGTGGATCGACACCGTTTCAAAAAGCGGCTTCTTCCATCATCAACCTACTTTTATAGTAGGATCGTATTCGATGCAAAGTAGAGTAAAAAGTTGTCGGTCTTTTATCAAAGAAAAATCGTGTCATCATTTTTAGGAGGCGTAAGATGACCCATTTCAAATTTAAAATGAAATTGAATGTAAAATGTGAAATACCG